TTTCGTATCCCTGGTAATGGCCTGGTGGAGCAGACAAATGGCACATTGATTAAATGTACAGATGTCAGACTGGGAGCAGCTGCAGCCGCAGTGGGACGTGGAGCAAAATTACAACGGGTGTGGAGAGAGCTCCATCTATAAGGGAAAACATGTGGAAGCAGTCTGCATTCGTGTGTGTTTTAATGTGGAGTGATTTTCAGCACGTGTTGGAGGTAGGGCTGGTGTGCAGGGAATGCACGGCCCTGTGCTGCAGCCCCTGGCTTCTGGTGGGAGATGGAAATGTCTGGGCACGGAGATGGGATGGAAGGGGTCCTCTGGATGGGAAGAGAAGCATCCATGGTATCATGAGATACGAAGGTGCTGTGGGGATGTGCCCATCTGGTGCTTGGAGGCAGCTGAGCTCGGAGGTCGGCCCCTGGCAGAGAAGGGCTCCAACATGGAGGTGTTGGAGGCCAAGCTGGATAGAACCGTGGGCAGCTTGATCTGGTGGGGGCACCCAGCCCACAGCAGGGAGGTCGGAACTGGGTGATGCTGGAGGTGCCTTCCAACCCAACCATTAATATGATAACCATCATAACCATATGATTCTGTGATTTTTTCTTAAGAGGGAAAGGTGCACCATGGACATTTACTGGTGTTTCTTCCATCTTTTTCACCCATCACATGCCCAGTGTGGCAGCAATGCCCAGGGGTGCAGTGAGTGGCACAAAAATTGTTTTCCTTGGGTTTTGTGTCACTGCTTCATCTCATTTTGGCCTGCTCTTCAAAATAGTGGCTCCTTTCCTGCATTCCCAAAGGGGTGGTGTGCTACCAGGCCAGGAGCATCAGCAGTAAATAATATACAAAAAGAAAACAGGGAACAACTTGAAAATTCAATGCCCCTCGATGCTCTGGGCGTTGTTTTCATTGCTCTGAATTATTTGTAGCAGTGGCAAAGGAGTTAGATTACAAATAAAGTACGCATTTTGGTAAGAGATTGACAACATAATGGGCAGCGCGATGCCGTAATGTAGGTTGTCAGCACTGGGGTTAGATTAAATGATTAGCTATTTTACGTTAATAATTTACATTTCATTATTTGTCACTTCCCTCTGTCAGATAAAGGTGCGTTGTTTAGGCAGAATTTGAGGCACTGGGCTATGTTAGTGCTGTGGATGCTGCCTGGTACATTTTCTTTTGATGGTACATATTCATTTGCTGTATTCCTGATCAGCTGTTACACGTTACTTTAAAATGAAATGTTTGAGGGCTTCCAAGTGTTCCTTCTGCCCTTACTTTCCCTTCCTGTCATCCATTGCCGACAGACACCAGCGCAGTACTGCTGTTGATTTGGGGTACAGATCTGTGATTCTCATTTATTGCACACTGACTGCACAGCCGTGGATCGGTGACCCGTTCCAATCCATCCCGTAGCCTAACCTTACTCAAAAAAACGCCTCTCTGTGAATGCATTCTTCAAACCTTGGTAATTTGATGGCACCTCTCCTGCATTCCTTCCCCTGCAGGCTCAGAAGAATGAGCGTGAGTCCATCAGGCAGAAGTTGGCTCTTGGCAGCTTCTTCGACGATGGCCCAGGGCTCTACACCGGCTGCAGTAAGAGCGGCAAGCCCAGCCTGTCCTCCAGGTACGCAGGGCTGCGGGGCGGGTGGAGGCTGGGCTGCTTGGTGGGGTTGGCCAAGGAGTTGTGTGTGTGAATTCCTGTTGAAATTTGCACATCCAAAGCAGCAGAGAGCTTGGTCTTATTGCTGGGTTAGCGAGGTGAATGACGGGGCCCAGGAAAACCTCATGAGGTTCAACAAACCCAAGTGTCTTGGGAACTGCCCAGAGGGGTGGGTGCCCAATCCCTCCTGGCACCCACAGTGAGGGCTGGGCTCTGAGCACTGATGGAGTTTGGGTGTCCCTGTGCATTGTGGGCAGTGGGACCGATGGCTTTCAGAGGTCCCTTGCAACACAAACTATTCTGTGATCCTATGAAAGCTGGTTAAAAACAGAACTGTTGGTTTGTGAAAGAGCATCTTCCTCCGGTGGTTCAAGAGGTGGCCACCTGTTTCATGCTGGTCACCAGTTGGGCTCTGTTGGTTGCGTGTTTCACACTGCACTGAGCAGCCAGGGTGGATCCTGGGTAGCTCGAGTGCCTTCTGTGCTGTGGGCAGATGTGGGGCAGGGAGGAAGAAACCTGGGAGAGGCGTAAGACCAGGGGGAATCCTACTAGGGCAGCATGGAGGTGAGACTGTAAAATGCAACTGAACCACAGTGCATCTGAAAAGGAAAGTTGTGCTCTGTGTGGTTACAGCTCGAGTGGTAACTGCTGTCTTGTAATTACAGGGCAGGACTAATTAACATCCTGCAGCAGGACTGGGCAGCCATACCATGAGAAAACACCAGATGTACCTGGATGCTGCAGCATTTTGTTTGTATTTATAGTCCAGACAGAGCACTGGTATGCACTGCATGGGTCAGGACATCCAGTTACACCACAGTGCTCCCAGTCTTCTTGTCCCAGTGCCCTGAGGGCAAGCACAGGATGCTTCCTTGTGCTGTTGCATCCTTTTTTTTGCAGCAGAGCACATTGAGTCAGGGGTTCCATGCTCATCACACGGGGCCATGGAGGAGGCAGTGGGAGAGCTGGGCTGCTGCAGCCTGTGCTTGCTGTCACTGTGAACAGCTGGTGCTTGCTCACAGGGAAGGGCTCCACGTCCAGCTGTGTCCCACAGGATGTTTCCTGGATTCCTTTCGAGGCCGGTCGCTGCTTTCCCAGCTGTGCACCATTTTAATCCAGGAGTTTTACAATGCAGTCAGCATCCTCCATTTCTAATATTCTGGTGCTCCCAGAGGTGCCTCGTCTGCCTCTCTGTTAGGATGAGTGTGGGTCAGGCATTTCAGTCATGCTCTTGAAATGCAGGTGTCCCACAGACCCTGATTTGCACTTACTTTTCCCTTTCTGCATAATGCAGTTTGAAGCCAAGCAAAAGCTGTGTCCTGCTCCCCAACCTGGGCGCTGTGTTCACTGAGCCTGGCTCCAAAGCTCATGTGTTAATGCTCTCTGTTGTATAGCAATAATGAATTAAAAAAATACCACTAAAATAAGTGGAAAGTTTGGTGTGAGGACCAATATAAGCCCCCTTATTGCATAGCTTGTCTATGTATGGGCCTCTCCCAGCGTGGACACGTGGTGATGGAGCACAGGAAAGGCAACAGAGCTGCCCCCAAAGGATCATTTGGAACTTGAATATAGAAAAAGGAGTGCAATGTGAGAGGCAAGCAGCCCTGCTGCAAACCTGCATCGCACCATGCTCAGGGCTGTGCTGCTCCTCTTCCTCATTGCACGCCGGTACTTAGCATGGACAGCATGTGGTGGAGCAAAAGCTGGGCAAGGCTCTGCTGAGGAGTGCCCATGAGATGCCATAGTGCCACAAGCAGCCTTGGGACAGCCCTCAGTAAATCCTTTTGGTCAGCACACGGAGTTTCATGGCCGCGATGACGAAGCTCTGCAGTGTTGTGGGTATTTCTGCCGTTCAGCAGTAGATGGTGGTAGAGGCACTGTCATGGTGGAGCTGATGAGTTTTCAGTCTGAGCTGTCACTTCCTAATGCTATGTGGGAATTGTCACCTCCGACCCAGGCATTGGGTGCTGCTGCCTGTGGGGCCAATGAGGCCAAGCAGAGTGTTGTGCATCACAGATCTGCCATTGCATACAGCCCATCCCCATCCCCATTGTCACCTCTCCTCCCTGCAGACTCCAGAGCGGGATGAACCTGCAGATCTGTTTTGTGAACGACAGTGGCAGTGATAAGGACAGCGATGCTGATGACAGCAAGACAGAAACCAGCCTGGACACACCTTTGTCACCCATGGTAGGTCTGGTGGCTCATCTCACAGAGCACATGGGCCATAATGAGAACTGCTGAGGCACTAAAGCCCAGAGCAGCTGGCACATTGCTATTACAGGACAGACCCGCTGCAGAAGGGGGGTTGCACTCAAGGGACAGTGCCCTTCTCCTGCCCTTCCTTTCTCTGTGCTCTGTCAGAGCAGTAATGGGTGCAGAGTGGTGTCGGCTCCTATCAGCTCTCCACTCCTTTTTTCCTTCATGGATACAACACAGAGGCCCCAGACCCGTGGTGGGCTTTCCTCCAGCTTAACCAGCTTGTCCATTAGGCACTTATCGATCTGTTTGGCTCCATCTAAAGTGCTCAAGTGGCTGCTAATACTCAGAAGAGCCAATCAAGAAATGAGTTTGATTTAAAAAAAAAAAAAAAGAAAAAAAAGCCAGCCAACCCTGTAATCTTCACCTTGCCTGTAGAAATGAACCCCTCTGTGTGCATGCAGAGGGTGTGAAGCTGCAGGTCAGCTCCTCTGCTCTGTCCCCACGGCGGCGGTGCCGGGCTGTAACGGTGCGTGTCTGCTTCCCTAGAGCAAGCAGAGCTCTTCCTACTCCGACAGAGACACGACCGAGGAGGAGTCCGAGTCCCTCGATGACATGGATTTTCTCACCAGGCAAAAGAAACTCCAAGCTGAAGCCAAAATGGCCTTGGCTATGGCAAAGCCCATGGCCAAAATGCAGGTGGAGGTGGAAAAGCAGAACAGGAAGAAATCTCCGGTGGCGGATCTGGTGAGTGCTGGCCGATGCAGTGGCCCTTCATCCCTCTGCCCTGGGTGTTATGGGAGCAGGAGAGGAGAGGGGGAAGCATGGAGCTCAGTGCTGTGTTACGACCTTCCAGCTGAGGCTGAAGGCCTGCACCGAGCGCTGGCAGATGCTTTGGTAATCTCAGTGTAGCCACAAATGGGTGTTTGCAGGGGGGGATGTGTCTGGGCAAACTGGTGCTGTGCAGAAATATGGGTAATTCAGAGAAAAAGAATTAAACAGATGAAAATTCATTTCCAGCTCCCACATATGCCTCATATAAGCGAATGCCTGATGAAAAGGAACTTAAAACCCGCCGACCTAAGAGACATGACAATTGGGCAGCTACAAGTGATAGTCAATGATCTTCACTCACAGATAGAAAGTAAGTGGTCTTTGTTTAATTATTCTTTAGTAAGCACCGTCTACTTCAGGATGTATATATTTTATATATGTAAAAACGCTGATAAATGTACAGGAATGGAACCATTGAGGAGAGCTGCTGGAGGTGGGCTGTTTGCTAGGTCTGGCTCCTTTGGCTTTTTGCTTTCTTTTTATCCATCAAGCATTCAGAGGGCACTCATTAAGGTAGCGTTGCTTCAGCCTCTAAAAGCAGCCAGAAATACTGCCAGTTTTGTGGCTTCATGCAGCCTTATGGCTGTGTTTTGATATGATGCTCTGCATGGCCTCAGCAGCATCCAGAAGTGGAGAAGCCCTCTGGTCCAATAGACACCACTGAGTTCATATGTTCTGTCTTGCAGCACATTAACATGGCTCACGTATCCTTGCGTTTGCCTCCTTGTCTGTCTTTGATCTCTCCAAAGAAGCCAGGGTTATTCCCCGGCATCTCCACCTTCCCTTATCAATGATTAATTAATCTTAAAGGAAATGTCTCAGGTGGCTGTAGGACAAAAAAAGCCCCAACACGTTCATTGGGCTGCTCTGCAACTCTGTAACTGCTCGCGTTCGTTAATTACCGTCCCTCCTGGCAGCTCCTGCTAGGGATGTGGAGCTGCTCATGCCTGTGGCTGAAGCACTGCAAAATTCCTCTCCTTGCAAACCTCCCCCTGCTCAGCGCGAACTCTCCTCCTCTCTCTCCGGCCCCAGGCTTGAACGAGGAGCTGGTGCAGCTGCTGCTCATCCGGGATGAGCTGCACACGGAGCAGGATGCGATGCTGGTGGACATCGAGGACCTGACCAGGTGAGGGAGGGGTCCAGGGGCCATTTGCCCCCACTGTCAGCCTTTGGAAGCCACCAAGCCAGCAGAAAAACGGGCTGTGTCCACGCAGCAGCCCTATGGCTTAACCCCATTGGTGGCAGGAGGTGATGGCGACTGTCACCACCGCGGTGAGATGCGGGTAGCATGGGAGGTCGGTGGGATTGGGCTGTGGGTGACCTTAATCCCACAAGAGCAGGATCTGGGAGGAGACGTGAGCTTACAGAGTCCCACTACCCCACCTCCATGCTTTTGCCAACGCATAACCAGGCTGCTCCTTCCCAGACATGCCGAGAGCCAGCAGAAGCACATGGCAGAGAAGATGCCAGCAAAGTAACCCCGGAGTCTGTGGCAGCAGAGATGGAGCTCGCCTGTCCCTCGCTTCTGTGTCTGTACACGTGCTGATGTCCTCAGTGGCGCGCAGCAAATCAGTGTTAGTCCTTGGTCGTGTCCGAAGCTTTATGTCCGGTGATTGGCCTCCGCTTCTTAATTTATTTTAATTATTTTTTTTTCTTTTTTTACTCGTGCCACTCAATATCAGGCGTTTTAATAATATTATTACAGAAAAATGTACAGTACTTATAACGTTATAAAACATGGCTGAGGAGAGAGGGCAGTTTAACTTTATTTTTGTTTGCTTAGAGGTTTTACGTTGGACGATATTTTACCATTGACTACTTTTTTATTCTTCACTGTAGTTTTAAATAAAGAGACTGTACTTGACGGTGCTATACAAGTCCAAAAGACATGCCTGCCTCGTAGTGACGTCGTAACCTTCGGTAATATGTACATTTTAATCAGTTTTCAACATTTTGTGAATGTTGACTACCTGACGTTCATTTTTAGATGTGCTATTAACATTGAGTTGGGTTTCAAAGAGTTACCTGGAAAGTTTTATGTATAAAGATGTAAAATAAACATTTAAAAACTTGTTTCATATGACACGTCTTTTTGTTGGCCGGTGGTTGACTCGGTGATGTACTCAGCCAACTCAGTGTGCAATGCCTCCTTTGTCATCACCAAAAAGAGCCAAGCACGTACAGTTGTGCAGAGAAGACAGGACTGTTGTACAGCTACTTACCTGTAAGCTCATCATGTATGTATGACATGGACTTCAGCTATTCTTCTATACTAGCATTCAGCAGGCCCTAATATTGTGACTGTTGTTAGGCCCAGGCACACACATAGATGTTTCTATATTTTATTATCCACGCTGAATAGCTCAATGACTCCCCCGTGTCAGAAGTTTAGAGAAAGAAAAATCTAGGTTAAAAATCTTCAGCAGCATCTGAAATGTATGCAATATGGCAGCAGCTCCCCCCTGCCTTGGGGCTGTGCCCTGCTCTGTGGGCACTGTGTCCCTGCCCTGCTCTGCTCCCAGGAGCAGGGACCTTTGCCTTCCACATTTTCATTCCCCCCAACCCCATGACAGATTCCCCTTAGCAAAGCACTCGGCTGACGACTTATTCAGGGTGGCTGCAGCAAAGCATGAGACGCATCCAAATTCCATCCCCCCACCACGAATGTATTTTATTAAACTGACACTTACTTATTGTTGTTGTGCCCCTCCTTCCCCTGAAGCAGGCCAGGTGCTGAGAGCTCTCTTGGCATTTCGCAGCATTTTGGGGCACTTTGGGGCCATTTTGCCACGTTGTGCTGCTCCAATAGCAAAGGCTGGCTCAGGTGGGAGCGCCTTGTGCTCGCCTGCAATGGAAACTCCTCTTATTTAATTTGCTTTTTTTGGAATCTATGCAGAAAATATATATATAAATATATATAATAGTGGGGGGTGTTCACTTGTCAGTATCTCCTGTTGTCTTGCTGCTGTACCTGCATGCAGTGATAGCTAGCTGCTGCTGTTGTATTCCTGTGCTGTGCTTTCACCTGTGAGGCCAAACCCCATGGGGTGCAGATGGGGGGGGCTCAGCCTGAAGCCCCACTGCAGAGATGCTCAGCAGGAGGGGTGGGCTGCTCTGCTCACTGATAAGTGCCTTTAATTCTCTGGAGGGAGCAGGCCTGTGGGCACCCAGCACCAGGACAGCCAGTGGAGTGTCCATCTTCAAGGGTTTGATTTTTTAACTAAAAAATGAGTTAAAGTAATTTAAAATATATATATAGTATTGCTGGGTAATTGCATCTTAGATCTCTGTCCAGTGTACTACAGTGTCATGCAGGTGTGTACGATGGCAATGCTGTGGAATGAATGGATTAAATGATGTTTTTGAAAGAAATGTGCCTTGTGTGGTTTCTGAACCGGGTCCTCTCAGTGCCTGGCCCTGGCACCAAGATCATGCCAACATTTGGGGGATGTGCCCTGTCCTCGGGAAGCAGGGGGGATGGAAGGCATTGCCTCAGTCAGCACATCAGGGCACCTCTACACTGATGTGCCTACAAGCAGCCCTTGAAGCAGACAGCTTGACTTTGGGCTGAAACACAAAGATGCTCAGTGAGGCTAAGCTGATGAGGCTTAAACACCCTGAAGGTGTTCAAGGCCAGGTTGGATGGGGCCCTGGGCAGCCTGGTCTAGTAATAGATCTGCAGGTTGGTGGCCCTGGCTGTGGCAGTTGGATTGGAGCTTGATGATCCTTGAGGTCCCTTCCGCCCCAAGCCATTCTATGATTCCCCACAAGATCTGTTCCGTCCCCCAGAGCTGTCCCACTCTTTTGGCCTTGGGGGCAGTGGCTTCTTTTCTGGAGCATAGAGGCTCCAGGGGATGTTTTGCTTTTATTCTGCATTAGCTTTTATTTTTGACGTTTTCCTTCTACGAATGGATCATTTACATGGTTCCACTTAGGACTCCCATTATCAGTACCGTAACTGTGGAGCCAAATTCCCCATAAGCTCTGGGTAAGACAGTTTCATTTCAGGGGCTGACATCAGAACAAGCAGTCAGAAGCAGTTTCTGTTGAGAGCATCACTCACCAGGATACGGGCAGCTAGCAGCCCACCCCAAAGTGCCCAAAACAGCTCGTAGGGACACCCAGAATGGCACAGACCCCAGCTCCACCAGGAGAAATAAAACAGTTTTTGTGATAAGCCACTTAATGCAATTTGTTAAGTTCCACGTGCATGGAAACAGGCAGATGCTACACGGCTGCCATTTGTTTCTGTTCTATGAGTGTCTCCATGCCAGCCCTGTGCTCCCTTGGGCATCAGCAGCTTAGACTGGGAAACAGAGTTTCAGAGCCTGCTTTGTAGTTACTGACATACATAGGATCACAGACCCATAGAATGGCTTGGGGTGGAAGGGACCTTGAAGATCATCTGTTTCCACCATCCTTCTATGGGCTGGGGGCTCCCCCAGCTTAGGCTGCCCAAGGCCCCATCCAGCCCAGCCCTGAGCACCCAGGGATGGGACACTCCCAGCTCTGGGTAGCAGTGCCATGGCAAGCTGTTGTGGTTTTTTTGTTTCTTTATCTTTAATGCTAACGCAGTAGTTGTGCAGGTAAGGACCTGCCTGTGTCCCATCCCTCTCCTGCTCTCCCCTTCAACCTTTCCTCCCTGAGCCCTACCAGAAAGAGACAACCTGCTGCCTTTTTCTCCCCTGCCTCCATTTGGTGTCACAATAAAACTTTGTTTTTTCCTTTTTAATTCCCTCTTTTGGACTCGGACTCACTTGTGTTTGAGAGCATTCAATGATACACACAATAACAGTAGGGGAAAAAAACCAACAAAATAAACATCATGTTTCAGACAGCTGCAGGGATAACTTCCCTGTGAAAATAAAGCAGCCCTTAGGGCAGAGATGTGCTTTGTAAGACAGAAAGCTTCCTGCCAGGCACATTTTATTGGGTTCCCCTTTTTTCTCCCTTTTCTTTGCATCGCCCAAGCAGCACTTGCTGCACAGCATTTCCCTGAGCACTGGGGGAACTTGTGGGGGAAAGCATGGAGAACTGCAGCACAACACACACACGCACAACCTTCCTTCAGCTTTCATCCCTCCATTGCTCAAAGGGAAAGGATGGCAGGGTTCAGGACAGCTACGTGCCACGGGGTCCCGGGAGGAGCAGCACAGAGGGCATCCCCAAGGAAAAGCCACCGCCTGTGCTGACAGTCGGAGCTCACTTCCCTGCAGGAGCCCAGAGCAAGGAGTTTCTCTTCCTCCTTATTGTAAAGCAGAGCGAAACCCACGCGTGCGGGACCCCGCTGCTGGGCTGGGAGCTGGGCTCTCTTCTCAGCACTGAGCTGGTTCTGCTGGTTCCTTTGCCAGATGTGCCGAGCTCACCTCGAGCTCTGCTGTCACCAGTGGCCCTATGGATGGATGGACAGCCAGCAGGGACAGCTGCCACCACGCTCACCTCGCCCCTGGCTTCCTAACAGCAGTGCTTTAGGGGAAGGAGCACATCTTCAGAAGAAAAGTGAAATACACAGCAAGTTTATAAAAAAAGGGAATTGCAGAGTTTCGTGTGGATCAGCCAGGCCAGCAGCAGCAGGCATTTCCAGGCAGCTGCCAGATGTGGGTGTCGGGGCTGCCCCAGGTGCCAGCTCCATCCCATCCCTTTATTCATGCCCACACTTACCTCTCATAAGGAGATGAGGGATCCCAGGAGCAGTGTTTGTGCCTGATGTGTGCAAGGCCACGTTTCTGTATGCCCAGCCATACAGCTGTGTTCACCCCTCTCCATGGTTAAAACCACCCCATCTGGCATTTCAGGGCCACAGAACCTAGGAGAGACAGAGAAAAAGGGATTTGAATGGGAAGGAAAAAGACACCCAGAGAGCAGAAACTGTGCAGAGCCAGCACCAGCCACTTCCTACCAGCCAGGCAGTGATGCACCCCTCTAGCTGTTGGCTTCAGCATTAAGCCAAAAGCCCCAGGCTCAGAGCAGGCTCACCCCCATCCCCAACCCTTCCCATTTTCTGCTCACAGAGCAGCCCTCCTCCTCACACACCTGCAGTCACTTGTCCAAATCCACCAGGAGCACCTGTGTCTGCATGGTGCTCACTGCCAGCAGAGCTGCAGGGATCAGCTATCTGAATAGGAACCTTCCAAATAAATTACCCAGAATCCTAGAATGGCCTGGGTTGAAAAGGAGCACACTGCTCATCCAGTTCCAACCCCCTGCTGTGTGCAGGTCGCCAACCAGCAGCCCAGGCTGCCCAGAGCCACATCCAGCCTGGCCTTGAATGCCTGCAGGGATGGGGCATCCACAGCCTCCTTGGGCAACCTGTGCCAGTGCCTCACCACCCTCTGTGTGAAAAACTTCCTCCCAGGAGCAAAAATAAAATAAAATAAAATAAACAAACTATCCATGAGAGAAAGCCTCCACGTATTCTTGGAGCTGGGAGAAAAACACCGATTATTCAATGCATTTCTCACTGCAGCACTTTGCAGAACACGGAACCATAGAATGGATTGGGGTGGAAGGGGCCACAGGCATCACCCATTCGCAACCCCTGCTGCGTGCTGGCTGCCCCCAGCCCCATCCAGCCCCATCCTGAGCACCCCCTGGGATGGCTGGCAGTGCCTTACCATCCTCTGGTTAAGAATTTTTTCCTAACATCTGACCTAAACCTTCCATCTTTTAGTTTAAAGCCATTCCCCCTCATCTAGATCTTTTTACGTAGCTGTGATCTACTTTTAAGCTTAGCTGTGATTTAATTTATCACAGCTTTACTATATATATATATATATATATATATAAATAATTAATGCATAATTATAGATACATACATAATTATTACACAATTATACGTAATTATAATTACAAGAAATAGTGCCTTCCTACAAACAACCCCTCTCTTCCAGCTGAGGATATGCCCACACAGAGCACAACATCCACACAGGGCTCTGGGATTCAGCTCGTAGGAAGGGAGAGAGCAAGCCAGCCTGGCCAGCAAGTGTCAGTGCCACTGCCACCCACTGTTACTGGAACCACCAAGGAGGAGCACCATCCTTGCCTTAACTGCAACTGCAACACTGCAGGGCTACAGACCCAGAATGGCATAGTAGAACTGCACAAGTGCATAAAGGAGATAACCCTGCACTGCTTTAACAGCACAAGTGTCATCCCACCTCTATAATCCTTCTTCTGCCTGATGAGATCAGCATCTGAGACTAAGACATACTACGTAACAAAAAGCACATGGGCTTTCCTGTTTTAAAGAACTTCCTTTCATTTTTTGATGCAGCTGATACAGGAATATTCTCATTGCTAAACCCTAACGCCTTGTGCTTTGCTTTGAGCCAAACCTAAAGGAAACATTCCCTGCGTTCCCGGCAGGATGCCGTGTGCAGTCGGTTGCAGGAGGGCAGGGAGCTCAGAAAATGGCACAAATGAGGCTATTTGAAAACCATCATTTGGAGCAACACATCTGGTCAGGCACTGGGACAGCTGCCCAGGGAGCAGAGGGGTCACCATCCCTGGAGGTGCTCAGAACTGTGGGGATGTGGCACCTGGGGATGTGGATATGGGCATTGTGGAGGAGGGGTTGGGGAGCTGAGAGGTCTTCTCCAGCCTTAGAGATTCTAAAGGCAAAAGCTCAGCCTTCAGCTCAACATCAGGCACAGCAATGGAAAACACAGTCAAACTAGAAAGTCATACACCAGTGTTCAGGCAAAGCATCTTCTGACACATCACCGCCTTCTTAGGGGAAATAAGATGTTCATTAAAATAAAATGAATCTGAAAATTCAATATAAAGAAAGCCCTTGATTCATCCTGTTGCTTTCTAAGTGCACAGGAAAACTCCCACTGACTTCATGGAAAGTTCTCCAGGGCCCCTTGGCAGGGCAGGGTGGGCGACCGTCACGTACAGCACGAGCTAATGAATCCTTGGTGCCCCAAACCCACCAAGGCAGGCTTCCAGTTGGCTTATATGCACTGCTATCAACAGCATCTCATCGTTATCAGAGTAAAGCTTAGAAATGGAAAGCTTAATTAATGTGTCAGACACATGCTTTAAACACCCCTGTTCTCCCTTTAAAGCCACCCCCCTGTTCATAGTTACCAGACAGCATAAAAAGTCTCTCCCCATCTTTTTGTACGTTCCCTTTAAGCGCTGGCAGAGGCTCCCTTCAAGCACTGAAGGAAGGGCAGCCCCACCCCCTCCTGTCCCCACACTGCCCCAATGCCAGGACCCCGCGGGATTCCCAGCTCTCAGCTCCCCGAGACACCAATACAAAGAAAAAGGGGAACTCCTGCTCCTCCACCGACATAAAAGCAGCGCAGCCCCTGCAGCAGCCACCGATCCCACATCAGTTTCATCGGGCAGAGGCATGGCAGAGCACAGCATCAGGAGCAGGGCAGCATGGCTGAGGGTCGGGCACTGGGTGCTGCCGGCTGTGCTCTGCCTCCTGCTGCCATCCACGTGGGCGCTGCCTCTTCCTGCCCACAACCTGACCAAGGGACTCAACTGCTCCAGGACACTGCTGGCCGCTGCCAACGAGGCACTCCTGCAAGTGCAGGTATGAGAGGGGAGGGATGTGCCCAGGGTGGAAGGGTCGGTGGGATGGTGCACAGCCAGGCAGGTGATTGCTGGCACCCAAGATGGTGGGGATAGTGGCCGGAACAGGGGGGATGGTACATACCTCAGCAAGCAGGAGACAGGCTGGGGATGGTGTCCAGGCAGATAATGTGCTGGTGAAGGCACCCAGGATGATGGGGATGGGTTCCTGATGCTATCCAAGTGGGAGAAATGTTGGAGATAAATCCCAGGCAGGCACATACGCTGTGCACTCAGCTCAAGGAAGTCTCCTTCTGAACTGCCAGCAGGCCTCTAACTGCTCCTAGTGCCCACCCACACCATCAGCAGCACCTGTGTTTGCACAGGTGTCTCTCAGCTCTCATCCATCTCATCAACCAATCGCACTGCTTGCTTTTGAGCACCTGTTTCTCTAACGCCTCTGCAGACACCTGCTCCCAAGCTCGTTGCGTTTGCATGCTGGTGCTCTGGCTTTGCTGTTACAGAGTCCTTCTGCCCCTAAATCCCCATCAGGATGAGAATTTCTGCCAAAGTCCCCTGCTAGAGTTGCAAGCTTCATCTCAGAGAAGCACGAAAGAAAACCACTAAAGAGTTTCCCAAAGTTGCAGGGTATCAGTGAGCACTGCCTCTGTATTTTCTTTTTTTCACTTTCTAGTGCTTCATATTCAGCACAAACATTTAGTGATTTCGAGACTCTCTAATTGCTGTTTTCTGAAGCTGAATCATTTACCCCTTTTCCCCCCTTTTTAACACAGAAACAGGGAGTGCTGGGATTTGAATGCACCCTTGAAGAGGTTGATCTTGAAGATGTCACCAACAGCCAAATCAACACAATAAAATCCTGCACATCTGAGGATCCAGGGGTAAAACCAAAACAGCCAGCTTTCAGCATCATATTTTCTCCAGCAGCTGTATAACACGTTGTCACTAAATGAACCTGTATCACTTCTTCTTTAATTTATTTGCAGGCTGGAAACTGTCCAGTACTGGAAAGTTCTACTTTAGATACGGTAAGCTGTGAGCCTCTATAGAGAACCTTTGTTTAGCACTTCTAGCACTTGGCAACAAGTTCCAGCATCTCTTATTAATCCTGACTTTTGCAGAGCAAATGCCTGTGGGGGATCTACGAAGATCTGAAAACCTACAAGGCAGAGCTGAGGAACCTCAAGGATCTGAGGGTGCTGACATCCATTGACGACATGATGCAAGTAAGCACTTCCATCTTGTTCCTTCCATCTTTAATGGGGTTTTAGGAGCAGCGTTGCGTTGTGCAGTCACCGGGGAGCTGGGAGTTTGGCAGGTTGATATTGGTTTTCCTAAGAGTAAAGCTGGAAGATGTTAAGAGCTTGTTTGTCCCTCTACTGACCTCCCTCCCCACTGCAGGTCCTGCAGCCCCGCAGCCCGGCCGCGCCGCAGCCCTCGCCCAGCACCATCCTTGGCTCCTTCCAGGGCCGCATGCGGCTCTGTGGGGTTCTGCACGCCTTCTGCCTGCGTGCTGTCACCATCAGCAGGATGCTGGGCTACCTGAGTGCCCTCACTGCAGAGACATAAGAAGGAAATGCAGCAGCACGGCCGTCCTGCTGTACAGTTACTGATAAACCACGTTCTGCTGTCAGTGCCTTCGGAGCTAGCACCTCCAACTTCTAAGCATGGGGACAATAGGCTGTATCGTATGAGAACGTTCTCAGACCACCAAATGCTCAGCTGTTATTTGTCTTCAGAGTTTTATTTATTCAATTGTAAGCTCCTGAATTGGATATTTATAATAATCCGGGTTTATTTATGATGGTGCTCCTTATTTATTCTATTTATTGCCTAATAAAATTGAAGTTGACATAAAAGCTGCAGTGACCTTTTTTTTGTTGTTCCTTGAGATATCACACACCTCAAGGAATGCAATATATTCTATCCTATGAACAGGACAGAATCGCATTGATCAGACTGCTAATGTATTCACAGAATCATTATGGTTGGAAAAGAGCTCTCAGAACCCCAGCACAGCCCCAGCCCACCCTACCATGCCCACATCTCTCAGTGCCATATCCCCACAGTTCTGAACTCTTCAGAGAAGAAACATTTCCCAATCCCCAGCCTGCACACAAATAAGCAGAGGACCGTGGCACCACTCAGCACTGGGGTCATATTTAGAACTCCCATTTTCCTCGTTCCTCACAGCTGTGCTCCTTGTGGCTCTGACTCTCCAGGGGGGTTTTGTATCAGGTGTGTTCAAGTTGCCAGGTGCTGCCTAACACGCACATTTTGAGAGCAAAAGGTTTCAGTTAGGAAGCAAAATCAGCCAGCTTTGCAATACGTGCCCCTTTAGAACTATTTTTTGTTTGTTTGTTGCTGGAGCCACATCAAAACTACAGGCTGAAATTGGGTGTGCAGACAACAAAACCTCTTGATGACAACTTACCTCCATGCTCCACAGCTACTATCTGATCCCTGCTGTGCCAGGCAGGCAGCTGGGCACAGCCTTTCCCCTCCATCTCTTCCATTGCAGGGAAAGTCTTCCTCTCTTCTTGCAAACCCACTTGATGTTGTGTGTTTGGAGAGATTCATATTTAAGAACCTATCTAAGAAATAACCACTGAGGATATGCAAACATCCCCGCTCTCAGTGCCATAATTGAGAAGAAATTTGCTAATTGGGTAGTGAGCTTACAAAGGTAAGGCATCACACCCTCCAACAAAGGCATTTGGTGTTGTGAATTACTATCTGCACGCACTAGAACCACTTGCTTGTGGTAAAACTAGCACTGATATTCTGGGAAATGTATCCCCCTCATGCTCTCTTTTATGAGATAAATTGTTTCAATCTTCAACAGGGCAAAACTGCATAATGTCACCTGCATTTTGATTATTGGTGCCTGCTGTTGCACATGGAGAACGACAGCTGTTTATTAACTTCTTAGCATACAGAGAGAACCCCCTGTCATTTTGAAACAAAAACTGAGCTTCAGTTGAAAACCCAGGGAGAGATGCTGAGACAAGCACCCTCCCACTCCCTTTTCCAAGCTCACCACTGCTCTGCTTGCTTATACAGGGTCTCTCACCACAAAAGCAGAGAGAAAGCAGCAGCTGACTTGAAATGCTGTAAGAGAAGTGAAAACTGCAGCAGCAATGAGAAGAACCACTGACCAGCAGGAATCTGCTTGGAGAGATGGGGACACTGGCATCGCCCCGGCTGCTGCAGGGAGGATGGCTTAGGTTGGAAAGGACCCTAAAGCCCATCCTGTTCCAACCCCATGCTGTGGGCTGGTTGTCCCCACCAACCACCCAGCTCCCCTGGGCAAGGCACCCTGTGTCCCTGATGGCAATTCTCCTTTGCTTGCCTCAGAGAGAAGAGCCAAGGGCAGCTCCACAAGCTGTTCCTGTGTCCCAGTGCGTGTCCCCTAAATCCTACAGCAGCAGAAGAGCCCACAAGGGATGCACAAGGGATCCTCAGGAAAAGGCCTGACCAGAAACACCATTTGACCAAGGAGAGGAGCACAAAGGGGTGAGAACATGGCTTGTGACGTACAAGCAGCAGACAGCTGTATCTCAGCAGAGAGCTACAATTTAAACAACAAAAAAAAGCATATTAAAAATTACACATAAATAGCCAAAATGTTCTCTTTTTAATCCTTATATTTAAAAGTATGTTTGTTTGTTTGTTTTTCCATAAACATACACAGCAGGAGATGATGAAAAGAATCACGTCTGCAAACAGGACACTGTCTGGCCATCATAACATTATTTTCATATCTTTTACAACTCTGTGCGACAGGTCCTGCCCTCAGGATAACAACCATCTTGGAGACTCTGATTTTCTCTATTTTAGCTTAAGCCCCCCCTTATATTCAAGTTAAAATGAATCACGTAAAAAAAGTATAAAAAGTTCATAGTACAAAAAAAAAAATAATCATACAACATAAAAAAAAAATCTCATAAAAATTGAGACAGACTGTACAGAGAGAAGAAAATCCCACAGAAGATTCAAAGCTGCCTGCAGTTCTTAATGGTGCTACTGTGAAAGTGGTCTTCGGGTTTAAGAAAACAGAACCACAGCTCAACATGAGTGCATGGGGATCCGTACAGTGGTTGTGTATAAACAGTGATTCTGCAAAGGAATTTAAGGAGTTTGTCCCTGATCCTAGGCACCTGTGAGCAATACAATGTACCTCATGATTGTGAGTTTCATTATTTTAAGGGGATGAAAGTTTTGATACAACTTTTCTCCCTTGTCTTTCCCTGATTCAAATAAAAATGTTTCAAGATAACAGTCATATACCTGACAAAGGTAAACCCATTTCTCCCAGTGCTCGTTGTCTTTTACGACTGGCTCAAACACGACAAGATTCAGTGGCAGCTTTCAGTTTTGGGCACATCAAGCCTGGCACTTCCATCCAGCTGCAATGACTGGTATCCAAACGTGTGAGTAATGATTCCCAAAATGCTACTTACACTTACGTAGGTGCAAAATTTCATTCACATTTCTTTTGAAGACACTCTAAACTTTCCGCTGACTGATTACGATTTGGATCTTCATCACAATGAAATCCCAGGAAAATAGCTTGAAAAGTTTAACCATTTGGGTGGGGAAAGTTCCTGAGCTTCTCATCAGCTTCTCCAACTCATCACTCAGCCAAAAAGCCTGGGGAAATGAGCACACACAAACACATAGATATTATTTCATCTCTAGAGGTCATTACAGTATTGAATGACAAGTTCATAAAAAGCTACAGCAGTGCAGGGCCATGGCAAAAGACATGTCTCAAGGGTCAGATGAGTGAGGGAATGTCAGCAGTGATCCTCATTTTGAAGCCAGGTTCCTTTTATGGAGAGTGAAGTGGGAGCAAAGCTCTGCTAGTTCCAAAGCCAGAATTTGTTTGTTATTATTTCTTTGGAGTTCTTATTTTTTCTTTCGACTCCCTCACAAATACCAAGAATTTGAGCATTGAGCATCTAATGCCCATTAGTCCTTGAGTATATAATGCCCATTAGCCCTAGGTCCCATTAGGTCGAGAGGATTAGGTCATGGCCAAGTATTCTGAACGTAGGCAGGAGAAAAACATTACTCATTTTATAATATAATATCATTTTCTGAAGGGAAGTAGGAAAATGTCACAAGAAAGAAAATTGTCATCAATATTAGAAGGGAAACAATTTTGAGTTACACAAGAAAATGCACACTGGGTATTTAGTGAGCTCTCTGGCGTGTCCTCTTAAAACACATCTGAAACTCAGCGATGTAACTGCACAAATACAATAAGCTGATACCTTCTAGTGCCTGCACTATTTCATATGACACTTTTTCACGGAGCCTATTGCACAAGGCTTGTGCAGTTCCATTGCTTTGCTCTCTTTCTCTCCACTTGCTTAACATCAGAAATTTCTGGATATTGACTGCCTCTTCGTTTGCTTGAATCTGCTGAATGTCTTTCATTTCCATCTGAAGACATTCAATGGCAATTTCTTTCCACTCCACGCCAAACAACTTTGCAATTACCATCAGCTGTCGATCAGTTAGCAAGCTTCTGCTTTTAATTCCATCTGAAAAGACATAAAACAAAAATCAGATCTAATATTGCTCATCTGATTAGACTTTCAATTTAATGACGCTACTGATGCTGTGCAGGGGACGTAGAACAGTGGGCATCTTATTAGCCAGGCAGTCAAAACTGGATTAACTGCAGGCGAGCACTGCAGAAAATCACCTGAAGAACTCTGAAAATCACCTGAAGAACTCTGAAGGCTCATAAAGACACCAACTCCTGAGTAACTGCAAGGTTTCGTGGACCGAGCACTTTTCCTTTCCTCAGTCACCATCTACTCATAAACTGAAGCTCTGAATGATGAAAGCTCTCCCTCTGGTGGCTACATGCACCATCAGTAAATACCTACATGGGTATTTTTGCTTTATTCCCAGACTTGGCATTTTAAATGATATAGAGATGCTTACCTGTATAACTGTTAGGCCTTTGCTTTTTGCTACAGTGTTTCTCTTCTTCAGAAAAGCTGTTGGTTGATTTCCGCCTTTTGACGCCTAAGGAGCGAAGCAGAATTGATGTTAATTTATTCATTTCACTTGCAGATCACTTGAGCAACAACAGCAAGCAGGGCTCACAGAAAACAATAAAATCTGAATCAACTTCAAATTCACTTACTGCTTGGAACTCTTGTTTGCTCATTTTTGTTCTGATCATAATGTATCCAGTCACCTGGGAAACAGTTTTCAAAGAGAAACAAAGGGTGAAGTAGGAATCACAGGATCCCCATTGCTGTGAAGGTATTTAATGAATTTCATCTACAGGCAGCACTACATCCCGGCTCATGCTTCTTTTCAGCTGGAACAAACTGCTATCCAAATCACAACATGCTTACTTTCTCTGAGTTTTGCTTTCCACACAACTGCATCCGAGTCCAGTTCAACCAAAGATAAGGTGAAGTCATCAGGTTTCTCAAAATAGACTTCAATGTAACTTTTCAGCTTCAAAAGAGATCCATCAACAAATTCAATTTCCTGTAAAACAGCAATATTTTTAAGACAGACTTTCATCCAAACATAAATTAAACAGGAGGGATGCGGATGCAGACCAAACTCTGGTCTACCCAATGTTTTGCCATTGACTTCAACAGTGTCAGGATTTCATCCCCAAGCTTTAGGTCTCTAAGAGGCAAATGCTTTCTACAGAGATGGCAAATGAATTCTGAAAACTGCCCTTACAGCCAGTGCATGCCTTGCACTCAGTAGGAAAGGGAAGGTATTTTCTGTCATGTTTCCAGTCAGGCTGTGATGTATCAATTGATGCTTACATGGAGAACTTACCTCTGGAGTTATTTCAGCTTCTGGTTCACAAATTAATCTGTATCTCTTTCCCTTCTGTAATAATTTCTGGCACACAGGGGGCTTGTCAATTTTAATGAATTTCTTTTTGGAATGTTTCACTGTCCTTGATATATCCTGAAATTTTAAAAGCATGATATATTATTCCTGTCGCTAAGGGAACTTATATTTACAACCCACGTTGCTCCTCACAGCTCCTGGTGTCCTTCTGCATCCATCCCTACAAAATGCCACACAGCAAACCTTACAAAATGCTCCATATTGAACACATTACTTGTGGGTATAGTGAAGATTCCCTAAAAGACAGAGAACTATGCTACATTAGTGAAATCAGAAGGGCTTCACAACCCAAATGGAAGCAAGTGTTATTAGCTGCTGTCCCTTCCCATGCTGGTCTATGAGGGGATTGCTGAGATACAAGTGGTGCAAGTCCTGAGCTCTGTGTTTTCCAAGAATATCCCTTGGACTCACAAGGATAATCGAGTCCAACTTCTGGCTCTGCATATGACCACACAAACCCAAACCCTCTATTTAAGGCCGGTGTCCAAAAGCTCCTTGAGTTCCAGCAGCTTCAGGCCGTGCCCGCTGCTAGGAAGCCTGTTCCAAGCCCACTGCCCTGTGGTGAAGAACCTCTTCCCAGTTTTGGTGGTAAATTTTCATTTTTCATACTTGTCATGGCGCCATGTGAACAAACAGCTGCTCACATATCAAACCCTTCCCTTCATATTCAGCTTACAGTGAGAGAACACCTGCCACAGCAAACCCAACCTTGATGAAGGAGTCGTTGTTCGTCGCCACGTAGACCCGGAACAGCAAGGAGGGGTCGCCATCGATGGCCTTGTAGAGGATGACAGCTCCGTGGTAGAGCAGGGGCTCCTCACTGTGGATGAGCGGCCCGACGGGGGACAGCGAGCTGACCAGCCAGCGCACGTGTGAGGCCGAGAAGTCCGTGGACGGCTCCATGGCCGCACCTGCACCCTTGATGTGCAGCACCTTGAAGGCCGGCTGGGAGCCACCATCTGCGGGGACAGTGACGGCACCGTCAGCACTGCAGCCTGCTCCAGCCTGCCCAGCTCCATCACAGCACTTACCGCCGAGGCAGAGGGAGTGCGGGAAGGAGATGGAGGTGAGGGCGGAGGGCGCCTCGCAGCGCACGTCGAACAGCGGGCCGCCCACCACCCACGGCGCCTTTACCAGCCCGGCGTATTTGCTCCAGGACAGCAGGGAGTAGTTGATGGTGACCGCCTTGTTCACCTCAAAAATCAGACCGGTGACACTGCACTCGTATGTGCCTTCTGCATCCAGCTTCATCCTGCCCGGACAGACCCACGTTGCATTGTATGATTGACGTTGTAATCACTTATAATTATTAACTATTTCAACAATATGCAGAGGAAGCCACCGTGAGAGCTGTCAGACAAGGATCTACAGGCAGCTGGCATAAACTGCTTATTTTTCAAGATTTGGGGCATCTTTTTTCACTGCTATAAATGTATTTGCGCAGCAATTTTTTCCCCCATTTAATTGGAAGGGAGAAGTATCTTGATCAGCACACCATAAATGTATACCCATTAAACATAAATGTATACCATGAAAAAAACCAAACATACAAATACTGTCCTCCAGAAAGCTTCCTAGGGGTCACTTGCTCCCTCTGGGCCTATATAAACAGATAAAATAATAATACATATTTAAGAAGCTGGTGAGAAAGTAGCATTACAATTTGCAGGTTCTCTCATGCAAAACGTGTGGATTTCTTTTTCTAAACCTACATTTTCCTTTCTGCAGTGCTCACAGTGGGGCAGACAGTCCGCTCCTAGTGAGAAAACAGGAAAATCAGCTCATTAAAACCAAAGTAATTAAATGCTCAGGGAAAAAAAAAAGCAACACCTTCAGAGTTCTCTTACCATCTGATTCACTGCAAACTGGCTGCGATTCTTTCTTTTCTTGCTCTTCATCTGCATAAAGAAGTGTTAAAAGTTCTCGTTAATACTTGTTAATAGCAAAAGATCTCACTGAGAAGGGCCACCTGTGGCTTTTACACAAGGGAAAGGACAATGAGGACAGAATGGGGATGGCTGTCTCTGCTCCAGGCTCTGCCCATCCCAGCTTTATGGGATTTGCCGTGTTTGCACTGCTTCTGCCCACGGGGCTGTGCAGCGGTGCACTGTGCAGCAAATAGATCCCATAGCCTGCAGGCAACACACTCTGCATGGACAGCCCAGCCATTCCATTCCCCTGCTTTAACAAAGGAATACTAAGGAGAGTATTCTCAAGGCTTCAATTTTGTGCCAGCTCCACACAGCCTGGGCATGAAGCTGGGCACCTGGATACAGGATTTGTTGAAGGTTCATCACTCTCACAACTTGCCCACAGTACTGGGAATTTTTCAGGGTGGGGGAGGACCCATCCCCAGGATGGTCTCACCGTGCCCAGCACCAACTCCAAACACTGAATGGAAGCTGTGCACCACCTCATTGAGAAGGGAGCCATGCTACAGCAGCACACTCAGCAAACCCCAACACAAAAGCAAGCAAGCAGAGCCGAGATATAGGGGAAAAGTTTTTGGCCTGAAGGGTTGAATTGTGCAAAACTAACGGGCACAGCTCCTGCCATGAGGCATTATGAAATACAAACAGCACCCAGCAAATGTGGTCCCGGCAGAAAGGCTGCCCAACCAGCCTGCTATATCAGCACCTCCCAGGTAGGCAGATGGGACAGAGGTGGACAATCCATTGTTATCTATGGGAAGCGCCTGGAAAATATCACGGAAACACCAGTGAGCTGGATCCCAGCCTGGAGCAATGCTATTTTGGGCATGGAGCAGCAGCTGGGATTGCTCTGAGTGCTGTGCAAGAGAGGAAGCAGGGCTGAGCAGCACAGGCTCGCGCTGGCAGCGCTGTTAATTAATTACCAGTGTTCTACACGCATCCATTCGTACCACGCATGCTCTCTGCCTGCACAACAGTGCTCTCTGCAAGTCTTTGTGCCCTGAGGGGCAGAGGTCACCGGCTGTGCCGGCACCCATCACTGCTGCATGCCCTCGTGCATCCTGGTGCAAAGCCCTCATCCCTGTCGGCTCCCAGACGTCTTCCAGAGCGGATATGGGAAAGAAAGAGCAGCACACTCACCTGACCGCCTTGTGTCCGACTCCTCCGTATCTGATGAGAAAAAAGCTTTCTCATTATTGAGTAAAGACGATCGATGTTGGGTGAAAGCAGGATAAACAAGCTGCTCGTGGTATAACCCACACAAGTGGAAACCCACAGCCTCCTCGCCAATAACAAACGCTTCCTTCAATTCTTTCCCCGTCCATCCTGTTTTGCCACTTTTGCTGCCAACTGTTCAGCAGATTTATAGCCTCTGAGGACAACGGCTGTGGTGTACAAACATCTGCACGCATTGTGTGCGTGAGGCCAATGCCACACGAGCTGCTGACCCCCATTACTGCAAAGCTCAGCACTGAGTGACTATGAAATGATGCACTCACATAAATACCATTCTGCTTTTCAACATTCAGTCACTGGCTTAACAGTTCTGTACAATAACTTGGAGACTACTCCCAAAGAGGGAAGGATAAAATAAAAAAAAAAAAAGTGGTTTTAAACTGAATTTACATTTTCAAAAGAGAGAAAATAAGTAAACTGCAATATAATGCCCACCTGAGTCATCTTCTGAGCTGCTGCTGGAGCTGCTGCTGGGGCTGCCAGAGCCACTGCCGGAGCTGCCCTCTCCTGAACGACAGGAAGAATTAAAGAAAGCAGTGCCAAGAGTAAGTAAGAGATGCATTTAGAAGTTTAAATGCATTAATCTGGTGGGTGTTAGGTAACATGACACAGCAGGAAAAGCACTGAGCCGTGCTCAGGCAGCAGAGATCAGCATCAGAGATCTGGGGTCGCTGAGAACCTTTGAAGGTGTGTGTGATGCTCAATTGACGTATGATGTCCCCAACAACCTGAGGCTGTCCTGGAGGTCCCTGCACCCCCACATTTCAGCCAGCCAAATTCTATGGTTTCCTGTAGGAGAGGCACCTACAGGTGTGTACAACCATGCTGTGATCCCGGGCTGTGGATGTGCCATGCACACTTCTAATAAAAGTCTTCTTACAAATCTCAAAGTCACGCTCAGGAGGGGGTAGGAGGTTTCTGTCCCACAGCTGCTCACCTGCTGGCAGCTCCTCCGCACAGCCTGTGCTCTCCTCACAAGAGGTCTCCAATTCTGCAAAAAAACAGCCAGGGGTTACACATGCATGAAAAAAAGGAACTTCTGTGCACATACAGTCAAAGCTCCCTCGCCTCCAACGTCACTTTCTATGCAGGCTCTGTGCAGAAAGAGCTGACTGAGCCACTGCCGTCTGTGTGACAACCTCCACCACTTCCTTGAGCACCAAAAATACAGCAGCTTGTATTGCTCTGAATCAAAGTGCAGCTGGGCTGGTCTGCAAGGCTGTACAAAGGCACAGAGGGTATGCAGCCTTGCAGTGGGAGAGCAGAGGGCTGCAAGAATTGGAGGGAGGAGGAGGAACAGACAGATGGACACCAACCCATGCACCCACCAGGTTGAGCATAGCAATCCACAGCTCCTGAAACCCAATGGACATGAAAAAATGGAAAGAAAACCAGGCTGACATTATGGAATCATGGAATCAGAGGGGCTGGAAAGGACCTCTGGGAATCATCGTCCAGCCTCCCTGCTGCAGCACGTTCCCCACAGCAGGCTGCACAGGAATGCATCCAGGTGGGTTTTCAACAGCCCCTGATGTGGCCACATCACAGCAAAGGGGAGAACCTCCCTTAACCAGCTGGTCTCACTCTTTGTAATGCACCCAGGACACCATCAGCTTTCTTAGCCATGAGGGCACACCTTTGCAGAGCTCCTTTCCATCAGTTCAGCCCCTAGCCTGTACTGATGTGAGCAGCTGTTCCTCCCCAGCTGTAGGACTCTACACTTGCACTTGTTGAGCCCCATCAGGTTCCTCCCCACCCAACTCTCAGCCTGTCCAGGTCTCACTGGTGTGCCAGCCACCCCTCCCAGCCCCACATCGTCACTGTAAGAAGTGGCAATGAGGGACAATGGTTAGTGGGTATGGTGGTGACAGGTTGATGGGTGGACTTGATCATCTTAGATGGTCTTTTCCAATCCTAATTATTCTGTGATTCTGTAACTGCCAGCCAAGAAGAACTGCAGAGACACGCCAAGGACCAGCATCCCCTGTCCTCCATCCCGCCCCAGGGATCCCAACCTCAGCACACACACCTCAGCATTCAGAGCAGGCATTACAGATCTAGCAGAACAAAAGCCCTCTCTCTATGACCACACACTGAATTTTCTGCACAAGGTCTCTGGCAGGACCAGCACTGCTGGTGGTGCTCACTGAGCGCTCCAGTGTGGATACACAGAGGTTTGGCAGTCACCTACTGAACTGTCAATGCAAGGCCAATTCCTCTCCTGGCATTTTTGCACTATGCAGATAACAGGGAACAAATAAGTAACAAAGGAATATGAATTTCAAAATTAAGTATAATGTCTCAAAGATCCTACCCATGAAATTAAAGCATTGCATATTGACTTTTCTATAGGCAGTAGACATAAAATGGTGCTTTTCAATCTGGAGAATGGGAATTTCTAACACCCAGCCCATTGAAGCCCTGTATTTCTCAAAGTTACTGTACCGTGCTCATCTGCAGAGAGGGATTCGATTCCGCTGGAAGACAAAATGGGAAATGCATGAGAAGACCTGGCAATCCTTCGCCACTTTTTCATCCAAGCCAAAGAATGTGAGGAAAGCAAGCAGGTTTTAAGGCAAGTTGAACAGTAATGACAGGGGGTTGCGCTTAAAAATGTATTTTCTTAAATATGCTGCTTGTGGACTTCAGCTCTTGCCCTTGTCACAGTGCTGGAGACACCTGGCTCTGACAGAGGGCTTTCCATGAGGTCAAGCCTTGGTCCCCAGCCCCTTTTTCTCTCAGGAAATGAAAGAAGTGAGCACGAACAGGAGACTAATCAACAGTCCTTGGTGGTTTTCAGGCCTTTGCTCCATGTTCAGGCACGGAAGAGCAGCAGGATGCAAACATTATTCATCTTCTTCAGCAAAGTACGAAGCTCAGACAGACCTGACGACCCAGAAGTGGCAAATGGCTCCCATCTGACCACCTGCTGGTGGCCCATAGCAAACCCAGGCGTATCTTCATTGTCCTTTCTCTCCTGAGAAAGGAGATTTACTATTTCCAAATTTTAAGGACCAGATGTGGAAACCTTTCCATGGAGCTCCAGAAAGTCATCCCAGAATAACCATCAGTGAGCCAGCAGGTGACATCCATCTGTGCTTCGCTTCGCAATCAGAAGCAAACACCCAGCACGTCTGCCTTCCCAGCAGCAAGAAAATAACCTTTACAACTTCAGGTTGAGAAGCAAGGAAGGGAGAAGGCAAAGAAATGTGAGCAAAATGGAGATGCTGCAGTTGGATGAGGAGTCTGGGTGAGAGTTCTGCTGGAATGGGAATTGTGATCACACTTGCATCTTGCAAAAACTACACTGAGAGTATCTGCAAGGCTGGGAAAACGCTGTGCAGCTTCGCTAAGTGCTGCCTCGCTAAACAAGGTTTGCCTGCAGTTGGCTGAAAGCCCTGCTTTGCACTCCTCATCAGCTGAAAAAACATGTGTTGAAGAAGAAGAAAAGAGTGGGAAAAGCAAAACAAAACCAGCCCTACTCAGTGTAACAGATTTTGTCTCACGATCAATTAATTACGGAATTACTCCGGGGACGAAATGCAGTTGCAGCCTTGTCTCGTGTCACGTGAGAGCTGCGCGCTTCTGTTGCTCAGCCCTCCCCAAAGGAAAGCATAACAGCTTAACCACGTTTTGCAGGGAGAAGATAAACACTCTCCTCCCAGCGCCGTCACACAGCTGCTGCCAGCTTGGGAAACGGCCAGAGTACAGAAGGGCTGGTGGAGAATGGGGTCGGGGGCAAAACCCCACTGCTGGGAGCAGGGATGTGGAATGGTGACATGGAGCAGAAATGCAGAGCGGGAACGCTGTTGGCTCACTGAGCGCTTTTGTCTGCTGGAGGAGATGATGCTGGGGATGGCGGGCAGCAGCATGGCCGGGCCCTGGTCTGAGAAGGGGGGTATGGGGAGCAGGTGTAAGGCCGGGATCCTGCACCTCACGTTCCTGGGGGCTTCCTGGAAGGGTGGGAAGGACGACCTTGGGCTTGGACTTGAGCCAGCAAGGGGGAGGGAGACGTTATTGGGGTGCAGCGAATGGGGAGATGGAGAGTGGTGGGACGAAATGGGTGGGGATGGTGCTGGGAGGGGGGGTGAAGGAGACGGAGGATGCTGGGGGATGGAGGTGGAAGACGGAGAAGGGGAGCGTGCTGCGAGGGGGGGAGGGGTTGGGGTACCGGGGGGGATCGGGAGGGATGCAGGTGGGAATTGGGAGGGGCTGGGAGATCGGTCTGGGGGGGGGGGGG